ATAAGGGTGAGCTCTATCAAGAAACCTCCGGTGACCCAAGTAGACTGTCTTTCTGCCATGGACAAGTTGTGTATAACATGTATTATCTTCACATATAGGGCATGCCTTATGTCCTTTGACACTATACCCAGCCAGGTTTCCATAAGCTGGAAAGTCATTGATTGTGCAAAAAAGCATAGCATGCAACTTAAAATTCTCTTTCCGGTAGGCATCAAACACTAACACACCTTCATCCCACAATTTTTTCAAGTCATCAATCAAAGGTGCTAAAAAGACATCTATATCATTACTGGGTTGTTTTGGGCCAGAAATCATCAAGGACAGTAATATATATTTGCGTTTCATACACAACCAAGGAGGTAGATTATAAATCACTAACATAACTGGCCACGAGCTATGCTTGCTACTTAGGTTCCCGTGAGGGTTTATACCATCTGTACAAAGGCCAAGTCTAAGATTTCTGGACTCATTGCCAAATTCAGGAAAAACATTATCAAAGGTTTTCCATTGAGTAGAATCAGCTGGGTGTCGAAGCTTTCCATTAGAAATTTTTTGATCTGCATGCCATGTTAAGTTCTTCGCGTCGCTTGGATTTGCAAACATACGCTTAAACCTTGGAAGAATTGGGAGATACCACATAACTTTAGCTGGTGGCCCTTTCGAACTTGCCTTACCAACAACATGCTCTCTTATTTTGTACCGAGATGCCCCACAGATCGGACATGCATTCAATTCTTTGTAATCATTCCTAAACAATATGTAATCGTTAGGACAAGCATGTATCTTTTCATACTCCATACCCATGGGACACATAATCTTCTTTGCATCATATGTACTCTTCGGGAGTCCATTATCTTCTGGAAGCATATCGTTTATTAAATCAAGTAAAGCAGTAAAGCTCTTGTCGCTCCATCCATTCCCAGCTTTTAAGTTGAATAATTTCAAAACAGCAGATAAGCGAGTATATTTACTACACCCGGGCCATAAAGGCTGTTTTGAATCATTTAATAATTCATCCAACTCATTTGATCGATTTGTGAACTCTTCTCCAACATCACGGAACATTTCGTCCAACCTATCTTCAGATTCATCATCTTCATTTGCTTCGTTGTCAACATACATGTTAGATGTACTAGTCTCTCTCCCTCCTTCACCGTGCCATATCCATTTTGTATAATTTAGATTAATTCCATCACAAATTAGATGATCATATATGTCCTTGGCACTTAATAGTTTTAGATTACAACACTTCTTACAAGGACACCAAAATGTTCCATCATTATTTGGAAGATGACATTTTGCAAACTCTATAAATTCTCTAACTCCGGCATCATATTCCGTACTCAATCGAGAAGCTTTCATCCAACTTTTATCCATCACAAGTCAATCTAGGATAATATTAATTCCAATTAGACTAGTTATTAGTAGTATCAAATTCAAAGATAGCATATAAATATTTTTAAAAATTAAAAAAAAAAAAGAATGACAAATTACATCAAATATTTAACATATCCACAAAATAATACTCCGTAATAGTATATACCCACAAAGATGTATATGCTTATCTTGAAATTAGTCTGGTAAAAATTGCAGATATTTAACCAGCTTTTCCAAGTACATTACAACATACATATATACATATACAAATTACATCCATTTTTTTTTATTGTTGAATATATATGTATTATTAAATGTTAGAAGCCAATTTACTCAACCATTTTTATTTATTACTATGATTATTCTGATCGATATTAAATGTTAGAAGCCAATTCAACCCTGGGTCATAAATTAATTAGGATCGGAATGAAATAAAAAGAGATGAGAATTAAAATGTTAATTGAGAAAATAACTCTCTTAAGTGAAAGATTATCATCAAAATCTTGCCCGTGAAAGTAAAAGTTAAATTAAAATATAGTACATATAATATTTTTGATTAAATATATAATCCCATCAGATTCCAATGAAGCACAGGCAGGCCATCTGACCGAATGTACGTGGCGGAAGCACAGGTGGCGGAAGCAATCGGAGCCGGCGATGAGCGGAGAAGCTGTCGCGGACGGTGGCGGAAGCAGTCGGAGGAAAGGGCGTCGGCGATGTGAACTGTGGCGGCGGCGTCGACGTATGCGGGTGGACGACGTCAGCGTGGAGGTCGGCGGCGAGGACGGCGGCGGTCTGAGACGGTGAGGCCGGCGGTGAGAAGAAGCACGGTGGGGTGGGGAGTAGATGGATGGAAGAGAGCGGTGGTGGTATGGCGTCGATCGAACTGCTCAGATCTTTTATTATAAAAACTTTATAACGTCGGCTAAATTAAATAGCCGACGTTATAAAGTAAAAAAAAATTAAAAGAATAAATTAAAAACAATACAACGTCGGTTAGATAGTTAGCCGACGTCGTATCATATTTAATTTTTTTTTATAGTATATAACGTCGGCTAAATTAACTTAGCCGACGTTATATATAATTTATTTTTTTTTTTAAAAATAATATATACCCTACGACGACGGCTATATTAATAGCCGACGTCGTAGGTTATATATTTCTTTTGTATTATTATTTTTTATTTTTAACGTCGGCTATTTGGTAATAGCCGACGTTATAAAGTTAATAATTTAAAAAAAAAATTAAATGTTTTTAACGTCGGCTATGTATATAGCCGACGTTAAATTGCCGACGTTGTATGTGAATTCTGTAGTAGTGAATATTGGGAGGTAATCTACATCACCTTAGTATTCAAGATTCCTTATTATTATACCACTGCACTAAGGATTAGCAACATATGTATGTGGGTTCTCATGAGAAATGTGAAGTAATATTATAGGTATTTAGTGATCATAAATGATAGTATAGTTTATCTAAATCATATCATTTGATATTGATAATGTTTATCATATGATATTGTTATGTTAAGTCCAAGTGTATAGTATAATTATGAATAAGATCATGTTTTACATTTTTTTTTTTAAAAGAAGAGGGTGTAATATTTGGAAATCATTCCAGTAGCTTAAGGTTATACTAATTGAAAAACAAATCTGCAGAAAAACGATTTTCCAATCTATTCCCATTTTGGCTACTATTGCAATTAATCAATCATGCGCACCCAACCCCATAGATTCATACATCACTGAACACTGTCATCATCTAAACACTAAAATGCATATACATTTACAAAAATTCGAAATAAATCAACAATAAAAACAAATATAATAAAAATAAACCCTAAATTATAAATATATTTATTAAAATTCGAAGAAATTATTAATAATTAAAAAATAATTACCTGGCGATGACGGTGGCCGGCGAAGTGCGGAGAAGATGTGCGGACGGTGGCGGAAGCAGTGGGAAGAGAGGAAAGCAGGCGGTGGAAGGACGTCGGCGCTGTGGACTGTGGTGGCGGGGAAGGACAGTCGCGACGGTGTCGGGCGTATGAGGATGGACGACGTCGACGGCAAGAAGCGGTGGGTGGACGACGTCGGCGTGGAGGACGGCGGCGGTCTGAGACGGTGAGGCCGGCGGTGGGGTGGGGAGGAGATGGATGGAAGAGAGCGATGGTGATGGTAGCGTAGATCTGGTAGAACGGTCTCAGATTTGTTCTTTTAAAAAACTTTATAACGTCGGCTAATTCAATTAGCCGACGTTATAAGGTAAAAAAAAAAAATTTTAAAAACAAATTAAAAACCATACGACGTCGGCTAGATAGATAGCCGACGTCGTATAATATTTATTTTATTTATTTATTTTTAGTATATAACGTCGGCTAAACAGACATAGCCGACGTTATATATAAATTATTATTTTTTTTAAAAAAATAATATAACCTATGACGTCGGCTGTATAAATAGCCGACGTCGTAGGTTATATATTTCTTTTGTATTATTATTTTTTTTTATAACGTCGGCTATTTGGTAATAGCCGACGTTATAAACCTAATAATTTAAAAAAAAATTTAAATATATTTAACGTCGGCTATGTATATAGCCGACGTTAAATACCCGACGTTGTATGTGATTTCTGTAGTAGTGGTACCCCCTCTACGTAAATGAAGAATATATTTCTATCAAATCTATAATGAACTGCACATTCATATTTTAGTAGTTGGTATAGGTGTGGTTATATTTTTGTTGCAATTGCAGTTGATGAAGACTTGGTTGGTGTTGTAGTAAGAAATGTTGACGAAGCTTTTGAGTTATATAATGGATATGTGTACAGAGTTAGTTTTAGTGTGAGGAAAGGCCAACAACGTTATAAGGCATCTACTAAGTCAATTCAGATGAAGAGGTTCTTCTGTGCTAAGGCTGGGTATAAGCAGAAACCAAACAGTGGTGTTAAGCTTTATTCAAAGATTGATATGAGGACTGACTGTGGTGCATTTGTTCAGTTTGATGTGGGGGGTGATGGGATGTGGACAGTTACAAAACATTTGAAAGAGCACAATCATGAGTTATGTTCATTTGGCAAGAGTCATCTGCTCCGGTCGCATAGAAGAGTGGGAAACAATCAGCTTGAATATTTAAAAGACATGAAGAATAGTGGTGTTGCATTGGCGGATGGTATGAAGTTTTTGAAACATCAGTCAGGGGGTTCTCCATTGGTTGGCTTTACCAACCGCGATGCTTACAATTCGATGACTTCTGTGAGTTTGAAGTGTTTGGATGGAACTGATTCCAATTCTTTGATTGAAATATTCAGGAGGAGGCAATCTAATGAGGCTGATTTCTTTTTTGATTTCGAAGTTGATTTGGATGGAAGATTGTGTAGTTTTTTTTGGAGGGATGGTCAAATGAGAAGGGATTATGAGGTGTTTGGTGATCTGTTAGTGCATGATACAACATATCGCACTAACAAATATGATATGATTTGTGGTCCTTTTGTAGGGATAAACCATCATTGCATGAATGTAATGTTTGGATGTGGTTTTTTGATGAATGAGAGGATAGAGTCATTTGCGTGGTTGTTTAGAGCGTTTTTAAGATCCATGGATGGCAAGTGTCCACAGACTATCATGACGGATCATTGTTCAGCTATGGCTGCTGGCATTTCCATGGTGTTTCCTACATCACGCCACCGTCTTTGCATATGTCATATTGGTGAGAATTCGAAGAAGCATATCAAGGCATTAAGGAATCATAAGGATTTTCTGGATATGTTCAATTGTATGTTGAAATACACCGAGACTGAAGCGGAGTTTGAAGTTTACTGGACAAGGTATGTTATTATGAATTTACATTATATAATTCTAAATTTTCTGTTATGTCATTATGTATTTTCTGTTATGTCATTATGTATTTTCTGTTATATGATTTATGAATTTTCTAATATGAGATTATGAATTCACAGTTATACAATTCTGGATTTTATGTTATGTCATTATGTATTTTCTGTTATATGATTATGAACTGTGTAATATGAGATTATGAATGCAAGTATACAATTATGTATTTTCTGTTATGTCATTATGTATTTTCTGTTATATGATTATGAACTTTCTAATATGAGATTATGAATTTTCAGAATATGATTAGTAAACATGTGTTTTAACTTTTTCAGGATGGTTACAAAATATAATTGTCATAAGAATACATGGCTAGAGAAGCTTTATGACTGTAGGGAGAAGTGGTGTCCAGCGTTCAACAAGGATTATTTCTCCGGGGGTATTTTATCTTCGCAAAGGAGTGAAAGCACAAATCATTCAATTTCTAGGAGGTTGTCCAAGACTGCTGGTTTATGTGATTTTTATTCATCCTTTGTGAGTGTTATTTCTGAATGGAGAAGTAAGGAAAATGGTGAGGATTTCCGGTGTTCTCAAGGAGTACCCGCCATGATGATGGATCATGTGAAACTCCTTTCACATGCTAGAGAGGTTTGTACAATTGAGATATATTTTTTGTTCGAGGAACAATTTATGAAAGGTAGCTCTTGTTATCAAGAAATGGTGTTGAACGATGGTTGTAAGTGCAAGTATCACGTGTGGCGACCAGACATAGATATCATAAGGCATGAAGTAACTTTTAAGCCAATCAATTTGGATATATGCTGTAGTTGCAAGCTGTTTTCAGAATTGGGAATACTTTGCTGCCACTGCTTACGTATACTTCATGTGCACTGTGTTTCCAGTATTCCCGATAAATACATTCTAAAAAGATGGACTAAAAAGGTTGTTGAGGGTAGAAATGTGGACATTGCATCCGTGTTTTATAATGATGGTGTCCCTTCTTCAATTTGGGCTGTTGAGATTAGTAGGAAATTTCAAAGGCTTATTGTTTGTAGCCAAGATAACAGTGTTGCTAGACAATTCTGTGATGAAGCTGTTGAGAATGCAAGGAAAAACATTGAAGCTGAGATTGGGGATGTGAATATTGAGGAGGGTGCTGTGTCTTCGTCAAGTGGTATTGTCCAAGACCCTTCAAGCCGGAGGAGTAAAGGTGTGAGAAATAAAAGGAGTAGTAGTGTTATTGAGAAGAAGTACAATGCAGCAAGGGGGAGAAAGAGTGCTGCAAACAAGCTTGCTTCAATTACAAAGGGCTCTGTCCAATCATTGGTCTTGGAAAATATTTCAGAGATTGCTCGTGATGGATATCTTGTACATCCAAGCACTGGGGGTTCACAGTTTGTTCATTTTAATAAGAATGTAGACCACGATGTAGCTATAGATTGAGATTGTGTTAATAGAACTTCATATGTTTAGCAGTGTTGTGATGAATACTATGCAAAATACTATGTGTCAGTTTATGAATTTTCATTCATGTGATTATGCATTTTCCTTTGTGTCATTATGGATTTTCCTTTATGTCATTATGAACTTACAGTATGTACTTACGAATCTTATGATATTAGACTGTGAATTATGTGTCAGATTATGAATTTTCCTTTACCAGTTTATGAACTTTCCTTTATGTGATTATGAATTTTCCTCTATGTGATTATGAATTTACAGTATGTACTTATGAATTTTATGCTATTTAGAGTTTACGAGAATTATGTCTCAGATTATGAATCTTCCTTTATGTGATTATGAATTTTCCTTTATGTGATTATGAATTTTCCTATATGTGATTATGAATTTACAGTATGTGCTTATGAATTTTATGCTATTTAGATTTTATGAGAATTATGTGTCAGATTATGAATGTTCCTTTATTTGATTATGAATGTTACTTTATGTGATTATGAATTTTCCTTGTTGTCATTATGAATGTTATTTTAATGTTATGTAATAATGAATTTTCAGTTATAGCTAACACGTATACATTCATAATCTCATAATAGAAAGTTCATAATTGCATAATAGAAAATTCATAATATGGTAGTTGAAAATTCATAAATCTACATGATCCATATGTAATCTGAATTAAGAGTAATAGATTGTATATTCACAGGTGCAAAATATCGGTGCACATTACAAAATGAGAGATTCTCAATCTAGGGTACCAATAGTCAAGATTTCAAAATGAAGTATTGACAAAATTAATGCTTCATGTTCACAACATATTCAAACACCAAAAAGCGGTATAGTTTCATTTCTTCTTTGAGAGATCCTTTGCTGCCTTCATAACTCGCAATCTTTCAGTGTTCCTACCCCATGTGATAATGTTTGACATGTATTTAGCTCTAAGTTCCCAAAGGAAGTCAGCCTTCAAAAAAAAAAAAAAAAGATGTTAAAAAACAAAAAAAAAAAAAAAAAAAAAAAGAAAAAAGCAAATCTAAGTTAAAATTAATATATCTTATACTCTTACATTTACACGGGTGCCTATCTTGAATCCACTGTCCCAATCTTGAACATTCCCCTTGTACGACTCCATGTGTCGCATGACATATATGCCACAGTCAATCACATTGTCAAGCTCCTTCCAAGGAATGGCCAAGTGTGATACAGGAAGATTTTGTATCTTACGGAGTAGGGGTGATTTTTCTGCAGTCAAGTACTCTCTCAAAGCAGTCATCTGGACAAAAATGAAACTAGTGTGATAATGATTCATAGAAATGTATAACAAATGTTTGGAAGGTCAAGTTTAAGGTTAAGTTACCAGTAGACTAGGGCAATCTTCATACTTGTCAGCTTCAGTAACATCCTTAGGCAGCATCTTGTTGTCTATGATTTCAACACTTTTTGAGATGGTGTTGATGCAAACAATGAAGTAGTGTTCGTGTCGAAGCACGGGGAAAAATATCTAACATCAAAAGAAAAAGTAGTTAGAATAGAGAAGAAATATGTCATTAATGAATAAATGTTGAACGTGGGTAATTATAAATTACCAAATCAGCATCATTGACGTCAAGATTTCCAAATTTGGAAATTTCATACTGTAACCGCTCATTGAATTTCTCCTTCCGCTTTTGAAGCGGAAGATTCTTCATCCACTGTTCAGTTGGGTCAAGTTGAAAATTGCAGTCATACATAGTTCATAATATCATAACATAAAATCCATAATATTACAAAGAAAATACATAACTACAGAACAGAAAATTCATAATATCAAAATTGTAATTTCATAAGTCATAATAGAAAATTCATAATGCCATATGGGAAAATTCATAATCTCACACAGAAAATACATAATCTCACATCAGAAAGTTCATAATATCAAAAATGTAACTTCATAAACTCACAATAGAAAATTCATAATCTCATATGAGAAAATTCATAATCACACACAGAAAATACATATTTACATGACATAAAATACAGAATGGTTTAACAGAAAATTCATAAGTGAGCAGAGTAAAAATTGTTGGTATTAACTTACATGTACCAACGTGCTAAAATAGATGCACTTTGGCTTCCCCAATGCCCGTTTTGTGTTGAGGAGTGTAAGCCTCAACGTCCATACATCGATGAATGTGCTAAAAATTTCACCGCTGCGTAGGGTGTGGAAATCTCCTCTTGTCATTGAGAAATCATCAAAGCTAAACAGAGTTTCACTACATCAACAAAAAAGTTTGATAAATACATAAATGAATTAATACATGGTTGCTTTCAAAAAAAAAAAAAGAATTAATACATGGTTATAAATGTGAAATATTCATGAAAATAAAAAGTTTTTTAAATGGTTAGATTCAAACATACTCTATTGGATGATTTGTAGAAGCATCCATGAAGGCGTAGTTTGATACGGCCCTCTCGGTGACACTAGCATTATGGTCAGACGGTACATTCTTTGTCCAGAAAGGTGACCTCAAATTTCGCGGGATGTTTTTGTATTTTCAGATTGGTCTCTTTCGTATGGTGACATCCTCGACATCAGATTCACTGTCCAGAAATGCACTGTAAACACATGAAGCTAGTTAATATCATCATAATTGCACAATCTCAGTTCAGAAAATTCATAACTGCAGTACAGAAAATTCATAAATACAGAACAGAAAATACATAATTGCATATCAGAAAGTTCATAATATCAAAACTGTAATTTCATACTCAGAATAGAAAACTCATAATCTCATATGTGAAACTTCATAATCTTTCAGAAGAAAAGTCATAATATAATATAAGAAAGTTCATAACACAATTTCATATTCTAATTAGTTTACCTATCAATATCATCGAGGGTAGCAGGAAGTGTAGCAGCAGGCGTAGAAGTATCAGCAGCACTAGGGACATCTCTAGCGAATGGAACCTCAATCAATGGAATTATTTCTCGTCTTTCAGAACTTGATGCAGCAGGGGTAGCAGCATGGGTTTCAGAAGATGAAGCAGCAGGGGTAGCAGCAGTGCTAGGAACATGTGTACCAGCAGGGAAAGCATCAGGGGAAGAAACATGCGTAGCACCATGCATAGCAGTAGGGGTTGCAGCAGGGGTAGCAGTAGGAGTAGCAGCGAGTGTAGCAGCATCAGCAGCACCAGGAGTGTCTTTCACAATGTTCTGAACAAGGGCATCCAATTGATCTTCATTCAATGCGCCCTGCTCCTGTGGTTCGTCAACCAATGGCGCCGGGGTATAAGAAATCCCTAAATCAAACGAGGGAGGGTCAAACTCCATTTGCCGAGTGGTCTTTTGGAAGGCTTCAACCAAGGCATCAACAACCTTTGTGAAAGACTCCTGGCCAAAGAAGATGTCGTCAAGTTGAGAGGAGGTTGGAGTTGGTGGTCTTTCTATCGTGCTTGCTACACCAATCATGGTAGAAATCCCAGAAAATGCAGCCTTCATAACATCCACAGGGGCGTTTTGTTTTCCAACTTCAGCCATAGCCTCACCGAATTCCAAGACATCAGCAGCAAGGCGTTGTAGAACTTGCGTGACCCTGTCAACACTGGATGGCGGCACAGAGATGGTTGGGACTGGTTGGGCTGAAGTAGAAGCAATACAGTCAGCAGTAGGCTTTGCAATACGAGGGATAACTTTCCCTTTACCATATCCGCCCGACCTTTTCTCAGCAGAAACCCTTTGTCGTGCAAGTTTATTTGTCCATGCAGTAATGCTTAGATATGTTCTTTGAACCCTCATTCCTTTGAACTGGACCCGATCAAAGTAGAATAGCTACAATGTTCAAGAAAAAGGTAAAATAAAAAAGTTATAATCATAATTCCATAACTGTAAATTCATAATATCCTAACACAAAATTCATAATTACATTACAGAAAATTCATAATACCATAATAGAAAATTCATAATCCATATGAACACTATATTCAACTATCATATTATGGATTTTATGTTATGCAATTATGAACTTTCTATTATGAGATTCATTATTGCATAACATTAAAAGAACATTCATAATGACAACAAGGAAAATTCATAATTACATAAAGGAACATTCATAATCAAATAAAGGAAAATTCATAATCTGACACATATAATTCTCATAAAATCTAAATAGCATAAAATTCATAAGTACATACTGTAAATTCATAATCACATAGAGGAAAATTCATAAGCACATAAAGGAAAATTCATATGCTGATAAAGGAAAATTCATAATCTGACACATATAATTCTCATAAAATCCAAACAGCATAAAATTCATAAGTACATACTTTAAATTCATAATCACATAGAGGAAGATGCATAATGACATAAAGGAAAATTCATAATCATATAGAGGAAAATTCATAATCACATAGAGGAAAATTCATAATCTGACACATATAATTCACAATCTGAATATCATAAGATTCATAAGTGGAACTAGAACTTACCAATATGAATGTCATTGGTCCAGTAAAGAAGCTACTACTTTTCTTCTTGTACTGCTCGATGGATTTGATCAGAGAGTTGTAGGTGTAGCTACACCAGTTGTACTACTTTATCTCATCAACATTAATCAAGGAGTTGAGGATTCTGTTGTTGCAGTAGCGTGTCTGAAATCCCCGCATCATGCACGAAACAGTTAAGACCATGAAATCTCTCTTAAATTCATCTCCATAATCTCCCCTTTGAACTATGACATCTCCCATCTTGGTAGTGATTGGGGAACCAAGATTAATATTCCACCTTTGCCTCCAGCTTTGCAAGAGAGCCCTGTACTCCGGTGTCCCCTGTTCATCATATTTTGGGGCCTCAATAACCTTCTTTTCTCCTCTTGGAATGCCAAGAGTGTACTCAATGTCCTCTTCTTCAACAGTGAGCTTGTCGTTCTCCAGTTTGAAATGTGTTTGGAAAAGCTCAAAGTTGTTTAGCAAATACTGGACTAATTGTGACTCATTTGCACACAATT